ACTTCGTACTCTCTCTCTCTCTCTCTCTCTCTCTCTCTCTCTCTCTCTGCGACATGATTATTATCGTAAATTGAGAGACATGTGCGTTATATTAGCAATGTCGTTAAGTTTTCTTTTCCAATGTCTATAAGCTAATAAATGAAAATTAATTTTTTACTCTGTGTTGTCTTATTTCAACCCTCAAAGATTAAATTTGTTGATAAATAAAATAGAAAATTTTATCGAGTATTCTTAAACTCTTTTTTTAAATTGTTAATAAATCATACGCAGCAATAATTTTAAAAAAGAATTTAGGAATATTTGATAAAATTTTCTATTTTATATATATCGATGTTAAGGTTATAATTATAGATCATAAATATATCCTGTAAAAAAATCAAAGATTTAAGAAGATTATAACAACGAAATAATAAAAGTCATGTATGCATTTTATTAAAACTCATTTATTGTTCGATTTCTTACGTGCCATCCTTGATAAGCACTTAAATTTAGCGCTTACACAATCAATATTATTAATGCATATATTATGCCAATAATATTAATATTAATATAAATCTAATATTTGTTTGATATAACAAACAATATAACAAACAATCAATATTAAATAATCAATATTAAACAATCAACATTACTGCGCGTAATATGACATATATTTTATAATAATATTGGTCGTGTAAGGTCTACTTTATATCACGTCATCAATAATATCATTGAGTACGTATATATGAATTTTACAAAAACAGGCGCCTTAACAAATAGATAGGTGCAAAAGTGACAAATATATTTTTCATATTAGAACTTGAACAGATATCTGTGTGTATAGATATATATGTATATACAGTATATACGATTATCATCATTGATCGACTCGGCATCTAAATAATAGATGTTAAATGTTAATATATCTGGTATAAACGATATAACAAGGAAATGAAATATGTCACAACAATCTTACATTAGTATGACATTAGTGGGATGACGAAGAAATAACAATGACAATTTTCCACCAGAATAAAAGAGATATTTTAAAAGAAATATTTTTATTTTAATTTTTCACAGATTTTATAAAGATTGATTTAATAAAAATTGATAATGAGATACTTCTCAAAAAATATGCCAAAACATATTTTTTTTATGTTAACATAGTCCTTTATAAAGTAAAATAAATTTATCGTACAACTTCCTTGTTCGATAAAAATAACAGATTAAATCGAACAGAAGTTTTGCAGAGATATGATTGTTGTATTTTAAAAAATTAATAGAATGGAATATTTTTTCTTCTGACATTATAACTAATTATTTTGATAAGCTGCAACCGAATTAATAAGCATTTTTACTCTGATACAAAATACTCTGATATCTTTGTCATGACTATTTTAACTTATTATTGCAATATGTTTAGGATATACGAGAACAAATAATCCGGTAGTATTTTTCTCATTATACTATATACTAATAATAATAGTTGCGACTGATTTTGCTGCACAATTGTTTTATCAGGTGAACCTCAAATTTAACATCTAATTTGATTAATTTCACATCCATACGATCATACTATGCAAAGACCGCATGATAATAAATTAAATTTTGGGCATGCACATAGAAGTAAATGTTTACTTAGAAAAATATCTCGATTAATGAATATGATCTAAACGATCAGAATTCACAAATATAAACATTTTACCAAGGCCAGCTTTCGAACAATGTCACATAAATATTTGTGTGAAAGTAGAAGTATTGCATAACAACAATAACTCTGATAGAAAAAAATTATAGAAGATAAAATATAACAATATTATTCAGATAGGAAAAAGAACAAGTGTCTGTCTCAATCTTCGCAAAATGAAACACACAAGTAATAAACTTTTATCTCGCATACTCTGTCTCTCTCACACACCACACACACACACACACACACACACACACACACACACACACACACACACACACACACGCACGCACGCACACACGCGCGCGCGCGCGCGCACGTATTATATTAAAACAACCATTATAAAATATAAATATATATTTATGTATATTTATATATATCTCTCTTTCTTTTGTCCGTTTTTCACAGCTAGCTGCCTATATAGGGCTGGACGGATGCAATACAGCAATGAGATTTTATATTTCTCTCACATTGAAAACTAAAAGTAATACTAAAACTATAAAAGAAAATATGGAAATACAAAGAGGAAAAAAAAGAAAGAAAAACATATCACGCATCCTGCGACTTTCGATCACGGCAATCCGTTATGCCGAATAATAATAATCAACAATTAAGTTTCCTTAGAATAAAAATTATATTTTTTAAAATATAAAAAAGAGTATAATTTTTGCACCGTTTGAATGAAATAATCTTGAATTAACTATTAAATAGTTTTAAATTCATATTTTAAAATTCAATTTACAATAATATAAAGTGCTATAATCTTAAATTATAAATATTATTAACTCATATTGATGAAACTCTTCTTTCAATTATCAATCAAAATAACTTTTTATTACATTAAAATATATCATATAACTTAAAGGTTCGATAATAAATAAATCATAAAATATAATTTTTAAAGTACATAACAATTTTTACTTAATGTATATCATGAATATTACTTGAAAAAAAAAACATTTGAAAGTATTAATAAATGAACAATAATAGTAAATATTACAAAGTACTTGATTGGACGGAAAACTAATATTAATTACAATAAAATGTAATGTTACAATATTAATATTTACATATTATATAAAAAAGTCTTCTCGATGAGTTAATTATTAAATTCGGTAACGATTCATTGCCGTGTATGTCTTATATTATATAAAAATTTATATATTTATATAAACATATCTTTAACAGCTTTTTTACATTCTATCTTTGAAACTTTCAAAACTATGAAAACATTTTGTAAAAATATCGCTATTCATCAAATTTCAGCTAAATATATAATCACACTAAAATCATACAAACATATTAAAATCACAACAATTACTTTTGTTTTATGTGTGTATGCTCAATAAGTGTAGCAACCAATGCAATAAATGTTCCAATTTAATTTATACAATTATTTGAATTAAATCCAATTAAATTGACTTTAGATGTTACATTTAATTAAATGATAACAAAAATTATTTTATTTTAGCTATTATATTTTAAATAATTAGATAATTAAATTAAACTTTTTAACAATGCCTGTAAAATAATCATCATATATTTTATTTCGAGCAAGATATTTTCGAAAATTTTATTTGTTTTCATAGTAAAGCAAGTTAAAAATTTAATTTCACATACAGATTCTTGACATATAATTATTAAACATGTCAAAAGCAGAAGTGTAGAGTAGATATCAGATTTTGTGAGTACAATTTAAAATACATCGTGATTAATTTCGTGTCGTTTGTTCATTTTCTTTTAAACTTTCACAGAGAAAGCAAGATTTTTTATCAACAATTTTTTGCTTATTTCATTTCTATCTTTATCATTTCTATCTTTTGGCGTAGAAAGTATCTAATAAGGCAAGAGAGTAAGATAGATTAAAAAATACAGAGAATAAAATAAAATAGGATATATATTCCTCTCCTTTCATATAAATCAATAATAAATTAAAGTAGCAATATTTACTGTTATAATATTGTTCCCCGATTTTAATTAATTAAAATTGATATTTTTATTATGTGTAAAACTTCATAATATTTAAATGCATTGGAGTTCATTTCTGCTTAAGTTGATGCAAATGATTTGTTATGACAAATAATTTTATATTTTTCGTTATTGAAATCAATTACGAGAAAATAATTACGATATTACGTATACCCTGACATCCTTGTGTAATAAGTGCAAATTTTATTGCTCAACGCTTCGTAAGACTTATGAAAATATTCGCGTTAGGTCAGAATCTTCATCACACGCACGCATATACGCATACACACACACACACACACACACACACACACACACACACACACACACGCACGAC